TGCGCCTGCGCGCACTTGCCGAGTGTTTGAAGGTTTCAGCGCACGGGGCCTCGGGGACCCCCAGGCTCTCCCCAGCGCGCCCCCACCCCGCCTTCTCCATCTTCCCAGACTTTGGGTACCCTGCCTCAGGGCTTCCGGGACGGGGTTTCTGGGACCGGCTGTGAAGCCAGGCAGGAGTACCTACTGAATGCTGGACCCTTGGCAAATCTCATTCTCTCCCCACCACCCAGGAGATGCGGGTGTCATTCCCATTTTACAGAAAAGAAAACTGATTCTACGAGGTGAAATATCGTGCTCAAGATCACAAAGCTAGCGCCTGGCCGGTGTTGCTCAGTGGTTAAGCATCGACCTGTGAACCAGGAGGTCACAGTTTGATTCTGATGCGAGCACATGCAGGGGTTGTGGGCTCGATCCCCACTGTGGGGCGTACAGGAGGCAGCTGATCAATGATTTTTCTCTCTCTCTCTCCCTCTCCCTTCTTCTCTGCAATAAATAAAATAAAATAAAACAAAATAAAATAAATAAAATATCACACAGCTAGGAAAGGCAGAACTAGGAATCCAGGGAAAGGCCTGGAGTTACTCTCCACTCCCTCCTCCTCTCCTCCTGTTCCCTAATGTCTGACAGTGGCTGGCTTGATCTCTCCCTTCCCCAGGCCCCAGACCATACCTGGCTCTAACTACCCCCACCTCTGTCCTAATTGCCCCTGACCCTGAGGGAGACAACCGCAATGAGGAGGAGGGCGGCGCGGGAAGGGGGGGGCGCTGCCAAGGCCCCACCATATGCAGCAGGATATATGGGTTCCGTCTCTGGCCTTGCTACAACTTGCTGGGTGAACTTGAATGAGAACCTGCCATCTCTATAACCCTCAGATTCCCCATCTATAAAATAAGCCTCTGCAGGCCCTTCCAGCTGACCCTGCATTGTGTCTGCCACTGGACATTGGGGGCAGGGCTAGGACTTCAGCAACCCCTTCCCAGACAGATGCTGGGAAAGCAGCAATTCCTTCCTGAGCGGTGGCCATGTCAACACCAGCTGCTCTGGACCCTGCAGGGGCAGGGCTGCCCACCAGCTCAGTGCCCAACCTCTCCTCATCCAGAAGGAGCTGCTGGCAGCTGCCACCACCCTCCATCTCCAGAACCACGGCCCCTGGAAGGAAGGCACTATGCCTTCCTTTCCCCCAGACCTGGCCCTGGGTCAGGTTGGAGCCCGGGGAGCCGGTGGGAACTCCAGAGATGTGTGTTCCAGACATGGTGTAGCTTTGTTTTTAATAATTAACAGCAGCAAATATTGATTTATGCAGGCACTTCCAGGCCTGAGCGCTTCCGGGCACCCAGCAAAAAGCAACCAGAGAAACATCCATTCCCACACTGGGAGGAGGCAAGACCTGCTCG